TCTCCCGATTGTGTAATGATTCATACTTCCTCTTTCGATAGATATTCATTTTCACCAAGTTTGGTCAAGGCTCAAAGGGTAAACGTTAAGGTAATAATCTTGATGTTGGATTGTCCAGTTGAATGTTCTTTTTGTGAATAACTACAAAGCATTCAGGAAAAAGAAATTAAACCCAAATTGTACAAACCTCAGTAGACAGTGACAAAAAGTCGAATTTAAAAACTAGCAGGTAAATTACTGGAAGTTTTTCAGTTAAGTACATGCACACATAGCAGGCAATTTTTTCATGCTTGTTTTTGAAGTTTAATTTAGCATTTGAGTATAATTGCATTATTTGCTTTTTCACTCAAATGATACATTTCTGTGAGTTTCATATTTTTAAATCAAATATGTGAGCATTTGCATTCTGCTTAGGTATCCCATAAAAAATCCTTGCCACATAGGTTTACTTCCAATCCATTTTCAAGCAAGAGTATTTTAAGCAATGGAAGAAACTCTCAATATTTCTGATGTTCTGCACATCCTACAATAATAAATAATCCCCCTCTTTGGTCTCTCAAACCTTCTGTGAGAACATACAGAAGTGGGTATTAAGAGGAAAAGCAAATAATGTTTAGGGGGTATGCCAAACCAGTCTTTGTGGGGTACTGATGGATTTCTACCACCAATCCCTTTTCTTTCTAGGACATTAGAAACCTAAATTTTCAGATACCAAATAGCTTGTTTTAAAATAACTGAATTACTGAACAAATCCTTACTCATTTGGTTTTATATGTACTAGTATTGTGTGGTTCCCTCTGATTTTTGTAAGAATGAACAAATGAAACTTATACACACATAGGTGTGCATCAGATGTGGTATTCAGCTGGTTCTCTCCAGTTTGGGCAAACCGGTACCGACAGGAGGCTCCGCCCACCCACTCCAATGTAATGCGTGAGCACTGTGCATGCGTAGAAGGTGGTGTGCATGCGTAGACGTGGCATGTGCACACTCACATTTGTGAAGTGGTAGGGAAGGTAAGTGAATCCCACCACTGGTGTGTATGTTTGTATTTCTATATGTACACACGCAAATACAGATGGTTTCTGAAATAACTGCAATTAGTCAGGCAAAAACAGACTTTCAAATTCATAACAAAAAGTTTATTGCTAACAAAATTCTGGATCTGGAGCTGTAAAAAAAGAGCAATCAATGAAAAAACATTTTTTAAAGATATTCTGATTTATTAATTAATAATACACCATGATAATAAATCCATTCTCTCCAAGTATTGAATTCAAAATGCATTCTGAAAGCTTGATGTTACCGTTGGTGAGAAGTAAATATTTGTTCTTGCCTTCAACAGCCACACATACTTCAGACACTTTGCAAATTAATTGCTCCCAAAATAACTTCAGTCTGAGCTCTGTCACTCCCCCATCTATGCCAGATGCTTAGGGAAAGCTGGGGAAGAGAGATAAAAGAATGCCACAGTTGATTGCTGCAGCATACCAATATTATGGTTAAAGATCTTCTAACTATATGACTAGGATAACTTTATCCATCTTTGTTCGAGAACAGAAATCAGCATATCAAATGAATTCACTAAGACTGAATTAAAACCATTACAATTACATTGGCCAATTTATTGGAATTCATCCCAAAAGTGATCAATAAAATCCAACCATACAAATATTATACGTTTCTCCAGAGAAAACTCTACTTAGCCAATTCATAAATTGTTTGGCAAAGCTGTCTGTAAGCAAATGGACCACTTGAAAAGTCATGAAATTCTGAAGAAAATATGTAAAGTTGCCTGTGGACCATTTTAGAGAATTCCCACAATCTGTTGCTATTGGCCATCCTTGCTGAAGAAGATGGAGGTCCGACCCNTTTACCTACATAACCCTAATGAAAGCTCTCCGCCTTTATAAAATCTGACCCTTTTGTTATTTTGGTATACAACTATATACCCTCCTTTTATGTCCTAAGCCATATGTCCAAATATTTTGTGGTTTTCCAAAATGATTTGCCTAGCAGGAGTATCTACCAGTTTGCTTATATAAGGCATGTGTAGGTGTACACAATGTAATTGTGTGTTTCAAGTGATTTTGCTGTTGCGCAGTGGAAATATATTTCTCTGAAGAGACATGAAAGTTTTGGAGAGAGGAAAAATACCATTAAAAATATATGCAGTATCGGAAAGTTGAATAGATTTACTACTGTGGCTCTATAGCACATAACTTGAGAAGTCTTGTATATGGTCTCAGAATTCCTTTGCAAATTATTATCAAATTACAAATTGAAATAATGCAAAAGGGAGAAATGATTAAATATGTGTGAAATATTCAATTAAACTATATATAATTAATTGAATTTAAATTCAGTCCAATTCAGTTAGGTCCTGATGTGGCATTCAGATTAAGTATGTCCTTCATTCCAATTCAATATTAACGATGTCCTTAGTACCAATATGGCTGTGCAAATGAAAAGGCTACAACACCCTCCCAAATTTATAGAAATTCTTACTAATTCAGTCTTCAAGTTGATCTATGCTTTATAAAGCTTCATGAAACAGAAGGGTAAGCAAAGTGAGTAACTTTATTAAAATAATTATTCCTGTTCTGGCTCAGAGTTAGAAAATGAGATGCCAGGTTTATGAATGCTATATAAACAAATGAGGAATTAGACTGTTTCTGAAAACTGAAGCTTAATTTTCGTATAGCTTAATCAAGACCTGTGATTATGCTTCCTCAAGCCTGACTTATCATAAAATCATTTCACTATTTGTTGAGTAAAAAAAAAAAGAACAAATATTTACTTAAATTCATGGGTTGGCACCTTTAAGGATACACATTTTTTAGTCAAGGCGTGGAATTGATCTATGTTAGACTAGAGAAAGAGATTTATAAAGCTTATACATTTCTACTCTTAGTTGAAGAAAAATGCATATATACAACTATTGTATCTGCAGATTACTGCAGATGGCTATCTGCAACAAATGGGTCATATTGATAACAATAATACACATTTTAATAATCCATTAATATCCTGCCTCCATTATGTTCTCTTATGCAAATAAATGCATAAATTCCTACTGTATAAAGGAACACATTCAATGATCTGCATGTCGTGCATTTCTTCAGTCCTACTATAAGGAAAGAGTGAAAGAGTGAATCAAACTCTGGCCATTGAGTAGAAGATAACTTTTGTGCAAAGTAACAAGGAATAGGTTTTATATGGACTGTACTTTCCAGTGTCAACGTTGTTGACTCAGCCTTCCATCCTTCCGAGGTGGGTAAAATGAGGACCTAGATTGTTGTTGGGGGCAATATGCTGACTCTGTAAACCACTTAGAGAGGGCTGAAAGCCCTATGAAGTGGTATATAAGTCTAACTGCTATTGCTATTGCTCTAGGGGGCTCTGGTCATCTCCATTTCAAAGCCAAAGAGTCAGTGCTGTCCTAATATGTCTCCATGGTCATGTGGCCAGCATGACTAAATGCTGAAGGCACACGGAACTCTTTTATCTTCCCACCAAAAGTGGTCCCTATTTTTCTACTTGCATTTTTATGTGCTTTCGAACTGCTAGGTTGGCAGAAGCTGGGACAAGTAACAGGAGCTCACTCCGTTATGCGACGCTAGGGATTTGAACCACCAAGCTGCCGATCTTTCTGATCGACAAG